ATCCAACCTTAAAACTCACTGTCAAGACGTGGTATTGGTAAAGGGGTAGTCATATAGGTCAATGTAACATAATGAAGAGAATTTAGAAGATGCACACAAAAGATGCCTATTAGATCTCTGACAAAGGAGCAAAAACAGTTCACTGGAGGATATTCTTTAAAATGGTGTTGAGGCCAGGCATGGTGGCTCATGCCTGTAATCCCAGCATGTTAGGAGGCCAAGGCAGGAGGATACTTGAGGCCAGGAGTTCCAGACTGCAGTGAGCTATGTTCACACCACTGCACTCCAGCCTGGGTGACAGAGCAAGATCTTGTCTCTAAAAACAAAACAAAACAAAAGCTCAAAAATTAACAAGAAAAAAATAAAACCTCAATGGAAAAATAGGCAAAATACTTGAACAGACCCTTCAAAGCAGATATGAGGATAGCAAGTTAGGCACATGAAAAGATGATCAACTTCATTAACCATTAGGGAAATGGAATTAAAACAATGATGAGATACCACTATGTACTTCTTAGAAGGGCTAAAATAAAAGATACTAAAAATAAGACTATGAAAATCAAAACATTTTGCTCTGAAAGACTCTGTTAAGAATATGAAAAGGCAGGCTTCAGACTAAGAGAAAATGTTTGCAAAACACAAAAAACAAAAGGACTAGTATCTAGAATATACAAAGAATTCTCAGAACTCAATAGTAAAAACAGAATTTAACTAGAACATGGGCAAAAGAAGTGAAGAACCATTTTATGAAAATATACAGATGGAAATTAGCATATGAAAAGCTGCTAGCTGCTAAGTATCACGAGCCATTGAGAGAATGGAACTAAAACCACAGTGAGCTATCACTGCATGACTATCAGAATAGCTAAAATAAAAAATAGTGACAACAGCAAACGTTGGTGAGGATACAGAGCAACTGGATCACTCAGAGATTGCTAATGGGAACGTAATATGATAAGTCACTCTGGAAAACAGGTTAGTGGGAAAAGGCAACAGGCAACTCCTATACACTCCAGCAACTACATTCCTAAGCATTTATCCCAGATAAATGAAGACTTAACATTCATTTTAAAAACCTGCATATGAGGTCGGGCGCTGTGGCTCACACCTGTAATCCCAGCACTTTGGGAGGCTGAGGCAGGTGGATCACTTGAGGTCAGGAATTCACGACCAGCCTAGCCAACATGGTGAAAACCTGTCTCTACTAAGATACAAAAATTAGCTGAGCATGTTGGTGTGTGCCTGTAATCCCAGCTACTTAGGAGGCTTTGGCAGGAGAATCGCTTGAACCCAGGAGGCGGAGATTGCAGTGAGCCGAAATTGTGCCACTGTACTCCAGCCTGGGTGACAGAGTGAGACTCCCTCTCAAAATACAAAACAAAACAAACAACAACAACCAAAAACACCTGCATGTGAATGTTCTTATCATGTATATGTGTAATACCAAAACCTGGAAGCAACCCAGATATCCTTCAGTGGGTGAATAGTTAAATGAACTGTGATACATATATCATGGACTATTACTGAAAAATAAAAAGTTACAAATACTTTTTTTTTTGAGACAGAATCTCACTCTGCCACCCAGGCTGGAGTGCAGTGGCATGATCTCGGCTCACTGCAACCTCCACCTCCTGGGTTCAAGTGATTCTCCTGCCTCGGCTTCCAGAATAGCTGGAATTTCAGTCACCTGTCACCACGCCTGGCTAATTTTTGTATTTTTAGCAGAGACAGGGTTTTGCCACGTTGGCCAGGTTGGTCTTGAATTCCTGCCCTGAGGTCATCTGCCTGCCTCAGCCTCCTGAAGTGCTGAGATTACAGGCATGAGCCACCGTGCCCAGCATAAACCACTGATATATACAACAATCTGGATGAATCCCCACAGAATTATGATGAGTGAAAAAAAAACCATAACAAAGGGTTAAATCCTATGATTCCCTTTGGGTAACTTCCTTGAAATGTTAAAATTATAGAAGTGAAGAACATATTAATGATTGGTAGGGAGCAAGAGGAGACAAGGACAGGAGGCAGGTAGTGGTGGCTATAAAAAGACAACTTGGCCAGGTGCAGTGGCTCACGCCTGTAGTCCCAGCACATTGGGAGGCCGAGGCAGGTGGATCACTTGAGGTCAGGAGTTTGAAACCAGCCTGTCCAACTTGGTGAAACCCTGTCTCTTAAAAAAAAAAAAAAAAAAGACAACTTGAGGGATCTTTGTGGTGGTGGAAGTGTTCTCTATCTTATTTGAAACAATGTTGATATCCTGGTTGTGAGATTGAGTTACAGTTTTGCAAGATATTACCATTGGGGAAACTGGGTAAAGGGTACATGGGTTCTATCTGTTGTTTCTTACAAATGCATGTGAATCTATAATTATCTCAAAATAGTTTAATTTTTAAAATATTGACAATATCAAGTGCTGATGAGGATGTGGAGGAAATGAAATTCTTATACTTTGCTGGTGGGAGTGTAAAATGGTAGCAAAAACCACTCTGGAAAATAGTTTGGTGGTTTCTTATAAAGGTAAACATACACTTACCATATGACCAGCAATCCAACTCCACCTTAGTAAAATAAAACCTATGTTCTCACAAAACTTGTATATGAATGTCCATAGCAACTTCATTTGTGACAGACCAAAACTGGAAACAAAATCTCTATCAACAAGTGAATGGATAAACAAGCTGTGATATATCCTTATCGTAGAATATTACTCAGCAATAAAAATGAACTATTGATACACACAACAATTTGTGTGAATCTCAAAGGCATAATGCATAATGAAAGAAGTCGGCCTTTGAAATTTACATACTGTATGATTCTATTTATATGATATGCTCAAAAAGACAGAATTATGGTGCTGAAGAACAGATCAGTGGTTGCTAGGGGTTATAGATCAGGGAGGAGGATGTGACAAATGGTATGGCACAAGAGAGTTCTGGAGGTAATGAAACTGCTCTGCATCCAGATTGTGGTGGTGGTTACACAAATCTATATATGTGTTCATCTTTTTTTTTTTTTTTTTTTTGAGACAGAGGCTCACTCCGTCACTCAGGTTGGAGTGCAGTGGTATAATCTTGGCTTGCTGCAACCTCCATCTCCCGGGTTCAAGTGATTCTCCTGCCTCCACCTCCCAAGTAGCTGGGATTACAGCCAAACACCACCATGCCCAGCTTATCTTTGTATTTTTAGTAGAGATAGGGTTTCGCTATGTTGCCGAGGCTGGTCTTAAACTCCTGACCTCAAGCAATCTACCTGCCCAGGCCTCCCAAAGTCCTGGGATTACAGGTGTGAGCCCCTGGTCCCAGCCATATGTGTTAAAATTAATCTGACTATACACCAAAAGAGAAAAAAGCAATTTTACTATTTGAAATTTATAAACAAGTAAGTAAAAATTTAAAAAGTTATCTGTCTTCCCCAATTAACAGCGCTGGGCTCGAGTCGGATTTCAGCCACAACTCGTCCATCTTCTTGACCTCTTTAGTGATATCTATAACCTGCCCAATCACAAGCTTCACCCCTGCCTGTTGGGCCTCAGAAAAATAGAGAAATGGAGGTGTTTAAAGACTATGTGGGGAACTATAAACTACTGTGAGTAAAGGATTTATAAAATTCATTCTATTTTTTGAGGATGAATTTGACCCTGGGTTAACTTTCTAGCTCTGTTTTCCTGGAAACCTTATAATGGTAGCATGTCAGCTGTGTTACCAGGCAGAATTGCTTATGGTAAAAATGAGCCCAAATAGTATACTCCATCTGGACTACGAGGACTGTGAGTGAAAGATAAATATCCAGTTGGAAGCCCTACCTTTGGGATTCTCTGAGAATAGGACTCTTTTTTTTTTTTTGAGACGGAGTTTCGCTCTTGTTACCTAGACTGGAGTGCAATGGTTTGATCTCAGCTGACTGCAACCTCCACCTCCTGGGTTCAGGCAATTCTCCTGCCTCAGCCTCCTGAGTAGCTGGGATTACAGGCATGTGCCACCATGCCCAGCTAATTTTTTGTATTTCTAGTAGAGACGGGGTTTCACCATGTTGACCAGGATAGTCTCCATCTCTTGACCTCGTGATCCACCCGCCTCGGCCTCCCAAAGTGCTGGGATTACAGGCTTGAGCCACCGCGCCCAGTGAGAATAGGACTCTTATAAATGGATATGTTTCTTGTGGGACTCTGGAAGCAATATTTATGGAACTGTTACAAGAGTTGTTGATTCCTATTTGGGAAATTAGGTTTGTAAAGCCCAGATAAGCTCCCACTCCTACCTGTGTGATCTTGCTGTTTTACATCTGAACTGCTACTTGGAAGACCAAAGAGTGGGCACTGGATTGCTTGTCACTTGCTGTAGAGATACTGGCATGCTATGTTTTCTATTATTCACTTTTTTTTTTTTTTTTTTTTTGAGACAGTGTCTTGTTTTGTTGCCCAAGCTGGAGTACAGTGGTGTGATCACTGCTCACTACAGCCTTAACCTCCTGGGCTCAGGTGATCCTCCCACCCTCAGCCTCCAGTGTAACTAGGACTACAGGCATGTGCAACCATGCCCCACTAATTTTTGTACTTTTTGTAGACACAAGGTTTCATCATGTTAGCCATGCTGTTCTGGAACTCCTGAGCTCAAGCAATCTGCCTGCCTTGGCCTCCCAAAGTGCTAGGATTACAGGCATGAACCACTGTGCCTGGCCCATCCTTCACCTTTCTAGGTAAAACCAATGCCAAGTGAGATGTATTATAGTTGTAAGTATGAAATACCTAGTTAAGGGAAAAAATAACCAAGAGTGGGTGTTCCAAGTACTCTGGAAAGCATTCAGGGGTTTAATCTAAACCAAGTCTTTTGGAACCACTCTGGAGAGGTTAGAAATCTGGCAGATAAGGGAACAAATGGTAATGCTGTGAATAAAATTCAATTTTTTTTCTATTCATCTAGCACAAGTAATTTTTTTCCCTGGGCATGTGGACAAGGTCTGATTTATTGTCTTTGGATGAACAGGCTTTAGATCTTCCTTACCTTGGGAAACTTGCACAAGGCCAACACTTATAGCAGCAAGTAAGTCTCCAAGAAGCCAATCCTTGAATCGATACATACACATCCATCCTAGGAAGGGAAAGATTGTAGGCATGCATCGTAGGAACCTGTGCCATGAGCAGCTGTGAGAGAGAAGAGACTTGGTTAGTTTCTCCAAAGAAAATGCCTGCATAGCCAAGAAAAGACATTTGGCCCACATAGCCAAAAAATAGCAGAGTCTTATCTGCACTACTGACAGTTTGACATATTGGACCAGATAACTCTTTGTTGGTGGGCTGCCCTGTGCATTACAGGATGTTTAGCAGCATCCCTTGTCTCTAACCATTTGAAATCCGTAGAACTCCCTCCTTCAGCTGTAACAGCTAAAAATGTCTCCAGACATCAAGATATTCCCTGGGGGACTAAATCACCTTAGCTTCAGAACCAAGTGCTATGTATATGTCAAGAACCAAGCCATATACATTCGTATGTAATCAATTCTGTGTTTTTATAGGATATTTGGGAAGAATTAAATCTACCAAATTTTCAGTAGAAAAATGGACTGCTGTTGTTTTCTCTTGACAAGGACAGTGTTTTGAGATGGGACATTGATAGATGGAAGGGCAGTTAACACATTCATGTCATTCCCAATTAGGAGAGTCCCCAGGTACAAGGCAGGTGCACAAAGAGTGTTTTTTCTAATTATGACCCTCTGTGGAGGAGAGTAGAGCATGGCACTAATTTTTTTTTTTTTTTTTGAGACCAAGTTTTGTTCTGTCACACAGGCTGGAGTGCAGTGGTGTGATCTCAGCTTGCTGCAACCTCTGCCTCCTGAGTTCAAGCTATTCTCCTGCCTCAGCCTCCCAAGTAGCTGGGATTATAGGCATGCACCACCATGCCTGGCTAATTTTTGTATTTTCAGTAGAGATGTGGTTTTAACACGTTAAGCAGGCTGGTCTTGAACTTCTGGTCTCAGGCGATCCGCCTACCTCAGCCTCCCAAAGTGCTGGAATTACAGGCATGAGCCACCACACCCAGCCTGCACAATTTTTACCAAATATTTGCTCTGTCTTACTTTGACCTGTGACAAGTAGAAATTAGCAGAAAATAGAGAATATGATGCCCCATGCTTAAGGACTTAGTTATGTAAATAAACAATTTTATAAAATAAGGCTTTATTATCCTCTAGCCCAGTAAATCCCTCCTAGGTGCAGTTTTGTTCCCCTGTGTACATTTGGCAATGTCCGGAGACTTTTTTTTTTTTTTTAAGATGGAGTCTTGCTCTGTCGCCCAGGCTGGAGTGCAGTGAGTGGCATGATCTTGGCTCACTGTAGCCTCCGACTCTCAGGTTCAAGTGATCTCCTCCTTCAGCCTCTCGAGTAGCTAGGATTACAGCATGCATCATCATGCCCAGCTAATTTTTGTATTTTTGGTAGAGAATGGGTTTCACCATGTTGGCCAGGCTGGTCTTGAACTCCTGATCCCAGGTGATCTGCTCGCCTTGGCCTCCCAAAGTGCTAGGATTACAGGCATGAGCCACTGTGCCCAATCAAGAGACATTTTTTATTCTTGCAATTGACATGTGGGTAGAGGCTAAACATTATAGAATGCATAGGACATTTCTTCACAAGAAAGAATTTTCTGGTCCAAAATGTCAATGATGCTGAGATGGAGAAAACCTGTTTTACTCTCACAACTATGAGCATTACTATTGCTAAGGTAATTAATGCCAAATAAACATGACTTTACCAAGGTCACAGGAATAAGTGTGAGCAGACATGGGACTAGAAACCAAGTCTTTGATTTCTAGTTCAGTGTTCTAGCCACTCTCCTACCTCCAAAGTTTCTACTGGCAGCTGTGAAATGCTGCTCGGCAGCCATGAGCAAGACCATTGGTTTGGAAGAAACATCACATTGCTGTTCTTAGGAGAGTCCTTGGGTGTGAGGCAGGTGTACAAAGTGTGCTCTTTCTAATTATGAGCCTCTGTGGAGGGGAGTAGAGCATGGTACTGGAACGGTTTGTTCCTTTACCTGGTTCAGTCTCCCTTCTTCTCTGTGTGTCGGTCACTTAGGGTAAGACCAGCCATCCAAGGCAGAGTCATCAAAGCTCTTCCCCAAGGTGAAAAATACAACAGACATGGAGAGATGAGGCTTTAAGAGTGACAGGAACTAAGGAGGGAATTAGAGGAACAGAAGTTGAAACCGATGAGGGAACAGTATTAGCATTTGAATCTCGATTTAGACATGAATCTGGATTTTAGTTAAGCCATCTTAAAAGTGAGAAATAAGAAGAATCAAAATGAAAGCACAGGGGAGATTTTGGTAAGAGTGGAGATTTGCAGTTGCAAAAGAGGAAGAAAATGGGGAAACAGATAAGTTTTCTGCAGAAAGGAAGAGATGAGGTTAAAAGTTATTTTATTTACATAAAAAAGCTCACTTATCTAGTGCTATTTCCTAGGTGCTTTACAAATACTCCTTCAATCCTCATGCTTTATAAGGCAGGTACTAATTATCACGTTGGTCTTACAGATGAGGAAACTGAGGCACAGCAGGGTTGGGTTCAATAGCTTACCTAAGGTCACATAGCTGAGAAGCAGAACTAGGATTCAAAACCAGGCAGCCTGGCTTCAGAATTGTGCTCTTAACCCCTGTGCTGTGCTACATTTCTGGTTAAAATTCAGAAGTGGAGAGAACTGTATGTTTTAGAAGTAGGGAGTAACAGTTGCTACAAAGCTCATGGGAGGTGGAATGAGTCAGATTTAAGTGTCTGGATGGCAAGGCTAAGTAAGTAAGGAAGGCAGAAAGAAGGTAGGGTGAAATTTCATTGGGAATACTTATTTATAATGAGGATAAAGTTAGGAAAAAATACTATCAGCCGGGCTCGGTGGCTCACGCCTGTAATCCCAGCACTTTGGCAGCCGAGGTGGACAGATCACGAGGTCAGGAGTTCAAGACCAGCCTGACCAACATGGTGAAATCCTGTCTCTACCAAAAATACAAAAAAATTAGCCAGGTATGGTGGTGCACACCTGTCATCCCAGCTACTTGGGAGGCTGAGGCAGGAGAATCACTTGAACCTGGGAGATAGAGGTTGCAGTGAGCTGAGATCGTGCCATTGCACTCCAGCCTGGGTGACAGAGCAGATTCCGTCTCAAAAGAAAAAAAAAGACTATTACATTGTACAGACAAAGCCAATGTTGTCCCCAAATGCCCTCTTTGGCACATGTATCTGACCCATCCTGGAGCAGAGGAAGTGAGAGGACTAGGGAGGGATATCCAAGATCACAACTTGCAAAAGTCAGGATATGGGCAAAGGAGAATGCCTCAAGGAGGGGATAGTCTGGAGCAGGGCTGTGTAGGGACCTTCCATATTTGTCACCAACATGTCAACATACCAACATGTGCCAATTGTGGGTGATAAACCAGTGGATAAGAGGGACTCGTAAATTCAGAGTATGAGTGAGGACAACTTGAATAATTATGATTATTATAATGATGTAGGTCGTGAAGGACTCTTAACCTCAAGTTTGTGGACCCCCAAGCGGTCTTTAGATAGTATTTGGGGATATGTGCAAAATTATATAGGATAACTTATATCTTTATTTCACTAACCTCTTTAGCATTTCCTTCAGTTATGAATATTGGCAACAAATCACAGTAGTATCAGCAGAACTTGACTTTTTCACCAGTAAAAATCACAAACATTTGTATATTACATTACAATTGCTACAGAGATCTTGAAATATTAGTTACATTCATCACTACTTTGAAATTATGATAGTTATTAGACCCACATTACTAGATAACACAATTACTAGATAACACAATTTTGGTATTTTTGATATTTAGATAATCGTATTTCAATGTAACTGGTTTTCCTTATAATCCTGCTTATTTTATGCATTAAAAAATTATTTGGCCAAGATCATTGATTAGGTGAAGACAATCTCTTCAACAAACTATGCTGGGAAAACAAATACCTACATGTAAAAGAATAAAGCTGTACCTTTACCTTACGTTATATACAAACATTAATTCAAAAAGGATCAAAGACCTAAATTTAAAAGCTAAAACTGTAAAATTCTTTTTTTCTTTTTTTTTTTTAAGATGGGGTTTCACTATGAAGGCCAGGCTGGTCTTGACCTCCTGACCTCAGGTGATCTACCCACCTTGTCCTCCCAAAGTGCTAGGATTACAGGCGTGAACCACCGTGTAAAATTCATTACAGGCGTGAACCAGCCTGTAAAATTCACAGAAGAAACCATAGATGAAAATATGCATGATCTCAGCTGGGAGTGGTGGTTCATGCCTGTAATTCCAGAACTTTGGGAGGCCAAGTGGGGTGGATAACTTGAGGTCGGGAGTTTGAAACCAGCCTGGCCAATAGGGTGAAACTCAGTCTCTAGTAAAAATACAAAAATTAGCTGGGCATGGTGGTATACACTTGTAGTCCCAGCTACTCAGAAGATGAAGCAGGAGAATCATTTGAACTCAGGAGGCGGAGGTTGCAGTGATCAGAGATTGTGCCACTGCACTGCAACCTGGGTGACAGATTGAGACTCTGCCTCAAAAAAAAAAAAAAAAAAAGAAAATATGCATGATCTTGAATTTGACAATAGTTTTTTAAATACGGCACCAAAAGTCCAGGCAACAAAAGAAAATACAGGAATTGGATTTCATCAAAATTGAGAACTTTTCTACATCAGCCAGACAAGGTGGCTTAAACCTGTAATCCCACCACTTTGGGAGGCCTAGAAGGGTGAATCACCTGAGGACAGGAGTTTGAGAACAGCCTGGCCAACATGGCAAAAACCCATCTCTATTAAAAATGCAAAAGTTAGCCAGGTGTGGTGCCACATGCCTGTAGTCCCTCCTACTCAGGAGGCTGAGGCAGGAGAATTGCTTGAACCTGGGAGGCAGAGGTTGCAGTGAGCAGAGATCGTGCCATTGCACTCAAGCCTGGGCAACAAGAGTGAATCATCGCAAAAAAAAAACAAAGCAAAAAAAACTTTTCTATATCAAAGGACACTATCAACAGAGTGAAAAGATGACCTACCGAATGGGAGAAAATATTTACAAATTTATTAGATTTATAAACATATATCTGATAAAAGTATAATATCCAGAATATATGAAGAACTCCTATAACTCAACAACAAAAAGACAAACAACCTAATTTTACAAAGGACAAAGGAAATGAATAGACATTTCTCCAAAGAAGATATACAGTTAACCAATAAGCACACCAAAAGATGCTCATTGTCTTTAGTCATCAGGAAAATGCAAGTAAAAAACAAAAAAAAAAAAAACCACAATGAGATACTGTTTCATACCTAATAGGTTGGCTATAATTTAAAAAACGGAAAATAACAAATGTTGGAGAGGACATGGAGAAATTGTATATTGCCAATGAAAATGTAAAGTGGTGCAGCTACTGTGGAAAACAGTTTGGCAGTGCCTTAAAAAGTTAAATGTACCACAGATGTATGATGTGATTCAATAATTCTAGTTCTAGCTATGTCCCTAAACAGATTCAAACAGCTCTCCTGTGCCAATGTTCATGGCAGCATTATTTACAGCAGCCTAAAGGTAGAAACAACTCAAATGTCCATGAACGAAATGAACAAAATGTGGTACATAAATACAATGGAGTATTATTCAGTCATAAAATGAAATGAAGTTCTAATACATGCTACAATAGGAATGAAACTTGAAAACATTATGCTAAGTGAAATAAGTCAGACACAAAAAGAGAAACATATAGTATGATTCCACTTAAATCAAATAGCTAGAATAGGCAAATTCACAGAGACTGAAAGCAGAAGAGAGGTTAGTCGGGCTGAGGGTAGGGGAAATGCGGAATTATTGCTTAAAAGAATTTCTGTTTGAGGTGATGAAAAAGTTTTGGAAATAGATAGCGGTGACAGTTGCACAACATTGCAAATGTCAATCATGCCACTGAATTGTACATTTTTTAATGGTCAAAATAGTCAATTTTATGTTATACATATTTTACCACAATAAAAAGCATTAAAAATTATTCTGAAAGAGGTGGATTAACTTTATCAGAGTGCTAGAAGGTTCAGGTTAAGAGCCCCTGAACTGTAGGACTTAGCTAGTCACAGGGTGTATCAGAGGTGGCGGTGGTATATTCTGCCTTGATGAACATGAGTACCACCATGAGGGCATTACTGGATATGAGACTAGAAGAATCTCATTCCCCTATCATTAATCAGTTCACCATGGCTATCTTCTTCTTATTATTATTATTGTTTATATTATTTGAGACGGAGTTTTGCTCTTGTTGCCCAGGCTGGAGTGCAGTGATACAATCTCGGGTCACTGCAACCTCCGCCTCTCGGGTTCAAGTGATTCTCCTGCCTCAGCCTCCCGAGTAGCTGGGATTACAGGCATGTGCCACCATGCCTGGCTGATTTTGTATTTTTAGTAGAGACAGGGTTTCTCCAAGTTGGTCAGGCTGGTCTCGAACTCCCAACCTCAGGTGATCCGACCACCTCAGCCTCTCAAAGTGCTGAGATTACAGGCATGAGCCACTGCGCTCAGCCATTATTATTAATATATTTTGAGATGGAATCTTTCTCTGTTGCCCAGGCTGGAGTGCAGTGGCACAATCTCAGCTCACCGTAACCTCTGCCTCCCAGGTTCAAGCACTTCTCATGCCTCAGCCTCTCAAACAGCTGGAATTACAGGCATGTGCCACCACACCCGGCTAATTCTTATAATTTTAGTAGAGACAGAGTTTTACCATGTTGCCCAGGTTGGTCTCAAACTCCTGGCCTCAAGTGATCCTCCCACCTCAGTCTACCGAAGTGCTGAGATTACAGACATGAGCCACTGCTCCCAACCGGCTATCTTACTTTTTGTCAGGAGTCTGGTAGTGGTGGTTGATTGGACAATGGAATTATGAAATATCCTGCTTAGATACTGTAGGGACACCCACGGTCTTTATGCCCAAGAAGTTTACAGTCAAAAAGGTGCTACAAGACAAACCACAAAAATGACTGAAGAAAAATTACACAATAAACTGCAGGATTCTGATTACAAGAACTCAGACAAGAAAGACAGAAGTGAACACCAAAGGAGTCAGGTTAGGTTTCAGTCCTGCCTGGCTCAGTGGCAGCTGAATGATCGGACACACGCACCAGCACTGGACATGGTGTCTGAAGGTGGTGATATTGATGTCCATGTTCCCAGAAGAGGAGGCCTTCCTTTTGTGTTTCTGTTGAAAGGTCTTCTCATTGTACACTTCGCGCTTAATATCATATGCGAACGGCTTTTGCCTGGACTTAGAGCTGAAGCCAGAGATGGTGCTCCTCTCTAGTTGTGCCATTCCTGGATGACTGGAAAGAGATCAAATAAAAAGCATTTTAAGTAATCCAGATCCTCAGCACATTTTTGAGGAAATAAAATTCCTATGTAAAAATGCTTTACACTTGCCTAGCATGGTTCAGTTGTACGAAACTCTTTCTCAATGTTGCACAATTTTATGTGTATTCTTCTCAGTTTTCAAATGGAGACAACAAAACCCAGAAGTTCAAACAGTGTCTGCTGTCTGATACTTATTAGAGCTAGGATTAGAACCCAGGTGTCCTGCTGGGAGGCCTAGTTTTCTTTATATTCAACTGTACTGATATGTTGCAGGAAAATGATCAGTATCAATCAACAATTTTTATTGAAAATGCTCACTATCCAGCATATATGAAGGGTTAAATGCTCAATACAAGTGTTCTAACTCCTCCTCTATCTAAAATAGCAGCCATCATTAACCCTTCACCTTTTACTTTTCTTCACTTGCCAGCACTAGATTCATTATTTGTCTGTTTGTCCATTGTCTGGTTCCCCCATAAAATGTAAAGCCGGGGGGCAGGACTATGACTGTTCACAGCGGCAGCCCCAGGACCCAAAATAATGCCTTTCACTTTGCAAGCCCTTAACAAATATTTCTTGAATGGCTGCCAAGTATATAGTTAGTGGCCTCATGGTCTAGAAGAAAAAGCTACAGAAGTTTGAGACTGGGCAACATGGTGAAACCCTGACTCTACTAAAAATAGAAACAAAATTAGCTGGGTGTGATGGCATGGGCCTGTAGTCCTAGCTGCTCAGGAGGCCGATGAGGGTGGGAGGATCATCTGATCCCAGGAGGTGGAGGCTGCAGTGAGCCAGGATCGTAGTACCACTGTACTCCAGCCTGGGTGTCAGAGCAAGACCCTGTCTCAAAAAGAAAAAAACACCCTATATTATCCTGCTCTTTTAAAAGATTGAAAAGGTAGAGTAAATGAAGATAGATAGGGATCCATCTCTGTGAGAAAGTGTAACCATTCTTGGCTGGGTGCTATGGTTCATGCCTGTAATCCTTGGGAGGCCGAGGCAGGTGGATCACCTGAGATCGGGAGTACAAGACCAGCCTGACCAACATGGAGAAACCCTGTCTCTACTAAAAATACAAAATTAGCCAGGCCTGGTGGTGCATGCCTGTAATTCCAGGTACTCGGGAGGCTGAGGCAAGAGAATGGCTTGAACCCGGAAGTTGCAGTGAGCCGAGATCACGCCATTGCACTCCAGCCTGGGCAACAAGAGCAAAACTCCCTCTTAAAAAAAAAAAAAAAAAAACCCAGAAAGTATAACCATTCTTAATATTCTGTGCTTTGAACAATTAAAAAAAACATAAACTCAGCCAGGTTGGTAGCTCACACCTGTAATCCCAGCACTTTGGGAGGCGAAGGCGTGTTGGTCACAAGGTCAGAGTTCAAGACCAGCCTGGCCAAGATAGTGAAACCCCATGTCTATTAAAAATACTAGCTGGGCTTGGTGGCAGGCACCTATAATCCCATCATTAGTGGGCATCATTATCCCTTTACCTTTTACTTTTGACATTAAAGCAGGATTGGTGTAAAATAGGCAAAATATGACCATCAAGGAGTGGTGGGAACAGTGGGGCTGACAAAGGCAGCAGAAGCTGCTTAGCTCCAGCCATTCTTGCCATTGGTCAATGTGGGGCCCAGAATGGCTTAGATCTGATCTTTTCCAGGGGAAGCCATAATGCCAGATTTTTATGTGGAATTTTCTGGCTTTAAAATATGGTCAGTTACTTTACATATACATATGTATGTATGTATATATATATATATATATATATGTGTGTGTGTGTGTGTGTGTGTGTATGTATATGTATATATGTGTGTATGTATATATGTATATTTTTTATTTTTATTTTTGGAGATGGAATCTGGCGCTGTCACCCAGGCTGGAGTGCAGCAGCCCAATCTTGACTCACTGCAAACTCCGCCTCCCAGGTTCAAGTGCTTCTCCTTACTCAGTCTCCTGAGTAGCTGGAATTACAGGTGCCTGCCACCACTCCCAGCTAATTTTTATATTTTTGGTAGAGACGGGGATTTCGCCATGTTGGCCAAGCTGGTCTTGAGCTCCCCACCTCAGGTGATCCACATGCCTTGGCTTCCCGAAGTGCCGGGATTTCAGGTTTGAGCCACCATGCCCAGCCTATTTAAAATCTTTGAGCAGGAATAGTAATACACACAGAGATGCACTCTGGGAAGATGAAATGTGCCAGTACGATGTTCTAGAGCTGAGTTGTCCAGTTTGGTAGCCACTGGCTACATGTGGCTATTTAAACTTAAAATAAAATTAAAAATTCAGTTCCTCAGTGATAATAGCTAGATTTCAAGTGCTCAACAGCCACATATAGCTAGTGGTTACCTAACTGAACGGTGCAGGTTACCTTCCATCATCACAAAAAATTCTATTGGACAGTGTTGGAGATAGGAGAGAGTGAGGCAAAACAGCCAGTTGGAGAGCATTAATATTATAATAGTCTAGGAGAGGTTATCAAGTCATAAACTCCTATGGCCACAGTGAGGATGGCTAGGAGGGGCAGGTGGAAAGTTGTCTTTAAGGAATTCCATCAAATGTCTGGCTAACGGCAGCAAGGGAAAACACATGGTTTCCTTGTTATTATTATTATTTTTGGTAATCTTTGGAATTTCTCCAGCTCCATTATGTCTTTCCTGATTTCATAGAAACCCTAGTGACTCATTTTCATGTACTAGCAGGACCCTTCCCAACAAGATGCAATGACCAGAAACTCCTACTGTTGAGTAGGCTCCACTTAGCAAGACCTACTGAATCAGAAACTCTGGGGGCCCAGCAGTCTGTTTTAAGAAGCTGTCCAGACTGCTGGGCCCCCAGAGATTCTGATTCAGTAGGTCTTGCTAGGTAGAAAAAAAGAAAAGAAGCTATCCAGGTGATTCTGATAAAAATTAAAGTATGAATACCACTATAAACATAGTGTATTATCTTTAGTCAGCCTTTCAGTGCTAAGTGTGGGGGCACTGTTAAAATACAAGCACTTTTGGCCTAGCTCTTTCACCTGCCATACTACCCTTATCAATCCATTCATCCATCAATCCATCCATCCATCCATCCATTTATTAATTTACATTATCTGTGTTCAGAGTGTTTTAAAAGTAAAAAATAGGCTGGGCATGGCTCACTGGCTCATGCCTGTAATCCCAGAATTTAGGAAGGCCAAGGTGGTTGAATCACCTGAGGTCAGGAGTTCAAGACCAGCCTGGCTAACATGGCAAAATCCACTTTCTACTAAAAATACAGAAATTAGCTGGGCGCAGTGACGTGTTTGTACTCCTGGTTTTTATGGAGAATGTATTGGGAGTACAGAAAAGGTATGAGCAAAGAGCCTGGCCTTTAGATCCTTCAGTCACTCTGGCTAGTGACCGGGGATGACTAATAAAATGGCAGGTCTTAAGCGGAGACCACTGGACACATAAACATTGGACAACCACCTTCCATGCGATGTGGAGAGAGTAACGGTGTGTTGGAGAGATGCTCATTATTGGGGTGGGGGTGCTGAAGAAGGCATCTGCTTCAGAAGGGGCCCCTGACACATAAATGGCATTTGACAGGAAAAGAAAGGGGCAAAGAGGTGGGGGTGGGGATTCAGTTGCAGGGAATAAAATGAACAAAAGCAGCGAGGACTGAAAGGAGGAGGAACGGCTGGGCAGTCAGGCCTCGGAAGGAAAAGGATGGGGTAGGCGGTGGGGTGCAGGCAGCACATCAGTTCTGGGGCTTTTGACAATATAGATTAGGCGAATTTGAAAGGATGCAGCTTGCAAAAGGCTCACACCGTCTCTTGTCATTGCCATCCACACGGCCTTTGAAAGTAGAGACAATACCTGAGAGACAAGTTCCCAGGGACGACATTCATTCATTCATTCATTCATTCATTCATTCATTCATTCCACAGATATTGACTGAGCGCCGGTGACGTGCCTGGCCCTGCGGCACACTTGGGTACCTGCTGGTGACCGACGCAGCCCTTGCCTGGAGACCCGCCTTGGCCTAGCCGTTCACCGCCTCAGTTCCCGGCGCCCGGGAGTCTCCCGGCAGCGGCAGCGGCTCACCTGCTCCTTGGCGGGGGCCGGAGTGGGGCGCTGGGGTCCCACACGGCTCCCGCCTAGCAGGCGGCGCTGAGGAAGCGGACACCGGCGGTTCCCGAACCGTTGCGGCCGATCCCGCCGGTGTTCCGGGTGGACGGGAGATGAGAGTGGGGGAGGGGACGAGGAAGGATAGCATGAACAGCTGGGCTGGGGAGCCAGGAAAGGGGTATCTGGGCCGCCCTCCTTATACGTGAGCCAGTACTTGGTAAACCTCGGTACCTGTACGCCAACGCTCCTACTCTCTCCGAGGTTTTACTATTCCTGATCCAGGGCCTATTTAGTGCCCAGCCTCATGCTCTGAACATACAGTAATGCACAAGTGTACTGCACAGACGGTAATTCACTAACATCTCCTGAAGACTTAAGCCTTCCTCAGGTCAGAAGACCTAAAAGGAAATAGAGGCTAGGAAGGTCACCCAGGTCTCCAACCATAGGCCCTCTTCCCTACAAGCCTGGCTCCCAGCACTGGATGACACCCTCCTGCCCAGATCTCGGCTCTGCAGGCAGATTTGCCCTCTGCACTCACTCCCTTTACCCTCCCCGCACCCTATCCCTGTCCCCATCGCTGTCTCTCACTCCACCTTGTATTCCTGCTTGGCCCAGTTACAGTTTTACACTTGTTTGTTTGATGACTGTGTTAGTGTCTACCTTATTATTCACTTTATGTATTCCTTTTTGTAAATTGTCTTACCTCCATGAGGGCCGGGATTTTTATCCCTTTCAATAACTGTTTTATTATCAGTGCCCACAACAGTGTAGTGGACATAGGAAGTGTTCAACGAATTTGTGTTGAATGACTGCCCTCCCATTGATTGTAAGCTCCACACAGGCAGCAACTGTAGTTTTAAATTACTTTTTAACTACAAGTTCTTGGCACCCAGTAGGCATTTAATACACATTTGTTGAATGAGTATACAAATATACTGCTTACTTTATCTTTACCCTTTTATTTGCCCTCACCTCATCATCCCAATTTGTAGGGTAAAAATGTGCATTTCTGAGGATTCCTACTTCCAGCCTTCCTCCTCACCCCTTGTAACCACCCCCTCATTCCCTTGATGCCCCCCACCCCATCCCTCTCTTCTTCAGAATCATGTTTTTACTCTTACTTCCCCTTCACCCTCCATTACATCTTAGAAAGCTTCCTAGCCTCCCTAGTTTGGAACATTCTCAAGCATTATGTTTTTATAAGAGAATTCCAGCTAAGCTACATTGGATCCAAGACAGCTTTCCATGAATCACCCATGCCTCTGTTTTCTGGTTTTATGTTGCTTTCCTTGAGGAGGACTGAGGATCCTGTACCACCTCCTAAATTGAAATCATGGTGATTGTTCATAATTTTTCAATAAATACATATGGGACATGCTTTATGTTCTAGACACTGTGCTAGATGTTGGGACAAGATAGGCAAAGTCTGAGCCCTCCAAGGTGTGTATGACACAAAATAGAATAATCACGGGAAATGATGAGAAATGTCCTGGCTTGCACCCAGTTATTTCTAATACAAGAAACTAAGAGAATCAGACAGGATCTGATTCTTCTGCTCATTTTAACAAGCTTTAGCATAGGTGTAGGTTGATAATGGATGTAGGCATGAGGTTATAATGCCTTGCCCATTCACATTTATCTTGTTTGGTTTTTACACTGACTCTGTTCATCGGGAATGCAGGGCAGAAATTCCTAAGGGCTTTCCTGAACTAAGGGGTTCAGGAAAGGTCAGTTGACTTGCCTAAATTTGATGAGACTCCTGCGCTATTCTTCTTACTCCAAGAGGCCTAAGTTAAATGCTTAAAATCCTCTTCACTGATGGCTCTTCAGGATAGGAATCAGTTTCAAGTCTTCAGTGTAATGGTTTTTTTTTAATGCTTCTCAAAGGGAGATATCAGAGACTTTCCTGAATCAGAACCACCTAAGATGTACTATAAAAATACATGCTCTTGATGCCGTCCTCTGACCTACCCAATTAGATTCCCTGTGAGTCCTGGGAACTTGCATCTTAAACTCCCAGAGTGATTTTTCTGCGTGTAAGTTTAAGAACTACTAGGAGAGTTTGAATGGAGAGCCTCAGCTTTGATGCAGGGTTGACATTTGTCTTTGGGGGCAGATTTCATCAAGCATCTTGAAGAGTAACCACATGTCCTTGAACAGATGGGAATGCAGCAGCCTTCTGGCCGGAACTTGTCTCTTTTTTATGCAAGTGTTTTTTGGAATTTGGGGGTTCTGTTGAGCAGGTGCTCAGCTGCTGGTAACTACTCTCAGTTAAAGATCTTTTGGCTCTTTCCCCAACATGCTATTTGTCCCTCTCGTTTCCCACCACAGAGCCAGGTATTTGCCCCGCCGGCCACGGTGAGGCGCGCGCGGCGTGTGCTGCCCGCTTATCTCTTTCTTCCCTGGTCCGCCTTCGCGCCCTTAAGGAGACAGTCCCTGGGAATTTCTGTCTCTGGTCTACAGTTGTTGCTATCTTCTCGCGAGAACTGCTTCTCCCATATTCTCCTCTCACGAAGCCCCGTCCGCGGAGAGGTTCCATATTGGGTAAAATCTCGGTTCGCTGAGAGTCCCAGGAGCTGTTCTCGCGAGAGTACGGGGAGGCTTCCGTTTGCCGGCTCTGGAACCCGGACCACTGGATGGATCCTTAGCGGGCGCAGCTGGAGCAGAAGTCCTGCGATGCAGCCCAGAGTCGGCCTCGTCTGGGCGAAGGTGTAGAGAGGTCGCGGCGGGCGCAGCCTTGAGCGCCAGAGCGCGTCCCTGCCCTTAACGGGGCTTGCCCCAGTCGCAGAGGCGCATCCAGCGGCGCGCGCGGGAGTCTGCGGGGTCGCGGCAGCCGCACTTGCGCGGGCGACCGGTGCGAGGTCCCCGCCCGGTTGGGCGGGCAGCAACGGCCGGAGAGAGGGTGCGGTTGCAGGCGCGGGCCCCACAGGGCCACCTTCTTGCCTGGCGGCTGCAGCTGGAAAATGTCTCAGGAGAGGCCCACGTTCTACCGGCAGGAGCTGAACAAGACAATCTGGGAGGTGCCCGAGCGTTACCAGAACCTGTCTCCAGTGGGCTCCGGCGCCTAAGGCTCTGTGTGGTGAGTGTCGCTGGGGCTGCTGTGGTCAGGGTGGCCCCTCGTGTCCGAGGGCCAGGCCTGCCCCACGGCTCAGCGTTGCGTCAAGTGGCAGGAATTTTCCTCGGGGGAGGGCATTGCACTCAGGTCCGCTGCGAGAGGTAGGTGGTGGTGCTGGACCTCGGTTCTGGCTGGCACCCTGCGCCTTCCCCTTTCGGAGGGTTGCTGTTGGGCGGCAGGCGCCGGGGGGAGGGCTGCTTCCTCGGGGGTCTCCCTACCGACCTGGAGCAGAAGGACCTTCTCCCGCGATGCGCCCACGCTGGGACGCTGGAGCCTGTCCTTTGAGCAGACAAGCTCGGGGAGCTCCCGGGAGAAGCAGAAGGGCAGAGCCCAACCCGAAGACTGCAGTCATCTGAACAAAAGTGAGCAGGAAAGGGAGCTCTCTCCGGGCTTTTTTTTTTTTCCTTCTGTTTTTGCAAACCTGTCGAAATTCCATCTTGAGAAGCGTTCTTTTTGAATTCGCACTTGAGTTAGCATAGAGCTTAAAATACCGACTTTATCTCAGTGAGCACTGTGCCAGCTTGAGTGGTGTGTTTCCGATTCAGTTGAAAGCCTATTTCCTTTCCGTGGAGGGGCGGCGGTGGTAATGCTTGCAAGAACACTGCAGCTTGAGAAACTGGCAGCCTCACTGATTAGTCACATACCACTGCTCATTTAAGTATTGTTCGACAAAACAATTTTCTCATTTGGAGCAAGAAAGATTCAGATCTGTGAGGTGCCCTCAAGATCAAAAAGTTATTAACAGTGCTGGGAGGTATTGTAAATTTCTTTTTGAGATAATTCCTGCGAATACTGTGGTTTAAAAGTTCCTCAGAGAGTTTGCAGGGAATTATCTGCATTTATGGCTTGAGGTACACGATGGTTTTCGTAAAGATACGGAACCACATAGAAAAGGAAGGGAAGAAATACTTTTTAGCTTTAATTTACACTATGAGTGTGTTTTAAATTAAATCGATATCATATGATTTCCAGACCTGAAATATTTCACTAACTGCCCTCTAACTTCCAAGGTTTTATACCTTGTATTTTAGATTTTGTATAATTTGAAAGCTACAGATCTGAAACTAAATATCAGATTTAACGGTTAGCTTTTTCTGTGTTTTAGTAATTCGTGTTGTATGCAAGATTTGAAAAGGGGCCTGTAAAATCGTTTTTTGTTTTGGAACAAATTCCAGGCTGTTGGATGTGTTAATGTTTAAATATGATTGCTGTGTTTCCTGAAGTCACATCATGAATTTCCTGTTTGGTAGAATCTTCTGGGTAATTGAGATTGTGCAGTTGTGTCCAGCAACAGATCATGTTGCATTTTCTAGTTCAAGCTGCTTAAGTTATGTTGTAGAATGCACCGTGCTTGACATCTTTCTCTCATTTTTACTGGGTGGCAGTTTACATTTTAAAGGAATTTGCAACATTTTACATTCAGAGAGAGAGAGAGAGTGTGTGTGTGTAGTTGATTTACAGCATTTTACATGCAGTATATACGTATATATATATCTATTTGATTTGCTAATTTTCAAAGATGTATTTGGATCATTGCTCCTTTAATATTTTATGGCTCATTAATATCCTTCCATTTTTTTCTTTCTTGAATTGACACATTCATTTCTGTAGTATCGCGTTTTTGTTTTCAATGCTATTTAAATTTTAATGGAGTGATACAGCAGAATAAGTCAACTGTAGAGGGTTTGGGTAAACTCCAATTGAATTGCTTGCAAGAGTTCGCTACTGTTGGTGACTAGCTCTGAACTGGAACAGGAGATCCAGCTTTAGAGTGAAGTATCATTAAAATTAACTCCACATTTCTTTAGGGGTATACTTTTCTGTGGTATAGAAGAAGCTAGGAGTATCTGACACTTAAAAGTACTTTTATTGAACAGATTTTAAAAAATAGGTAGTACATTGACATTGTATAAAATTTGAAAGCTTTAAAAAGGTATTCAGTGAAAAGTCTCCTTTCCTTTTTGTTCTCCAGCCACTCTACTCTCTCTCTCTCTTTTTTTTTTTTTTGAGACTGAATCTCGCTCTTCCGCCAGGCTGGAGTGCAGTGGCGCGATCGCGGTTCACTGCAGCCTCCACCTCCCAGGTTCAAGCAATTCACCTGCCTCAGCCTCCTGAGTAGCTGGGACTACAGGCGCATGCCACCGCGCCCAGCTAAGTTTTGTATTTTTAGTAGAGACAGGGGTTTCACCATGTTGGCTAGGATGGGCTGGATGTCTTGACCTTGTGATCCGCCCGCCTCAGCCTCCCAAAGTGCTGGGATTACAGGCGAGAGCTACTGCACCCGGCTACTCTCTTTCTTAAAGACAAGCACTGTTAAATGTCTTGTGTGTCTTTCCAGGGAGGCAGAGTTTTTTTATTTGCTTGTTTCTTTAGTAGTATTTCTACTAAAGGGATTTAAGATGTAACCTACAGCATATTGGTAAAGGAAAATACAACTGAAATTATATGACAATTGGCAGTAAACCAATATAACTAATGTTGGAATGAAATATCAGAATTTAGATTTACAAGTAAATGTTATTTTATTCAGAGATTCAGAGTAGTTATTTGAAGTGTTCTTTCTTTCCTTTTTTTTTTTTTTGAGAAGAAATCTCACGCTGTTGCCCAGGCTTGAGTGCAGTGGCACTATCTTGGCTCACTAAAACTTCTGTCTCCTCGGTTCAAGTGATTCTCCTCCCTCAGCCTCCTGAGTAGCTGGGATTACTCGCCACCATACCCAGCTAATTTTTGTATTTTTAGTAGAGATAGGGTTCTCCATGTTGGCCAGGCTGGTCTCAAACTCCTGACCTCAGGTAATCTGCCCTCTTTGGCCTCCCAAAGTGCTGAGATTACAGGCCTGAGCCACCGTGCCTGGCCTGGAGTTGTTCTTCCTATGAGTACCTTTTTAGGTGTGGCAAAAAACATTTTTTGGAACTTCTTTTAGAATCTACTTTGGAGCCTATGTTACTCTTTTTTTTTTTGAGATGGAGTCTCACTCTGTTGCTTAGGTTGGAGTGCAATGGTACCATCTCTGCTCACTGTAATCTCTGCCTCCTGGGTTCAAGTGATTCTCCTGCCTCAGGCTCCCAAGTAGCTGGAATTACAGATGTGCAACACCATGCTGGGCTGATTTTTGTATTTGTAGTAGAGACAGGGTTTCACTGTGTTGGCCAGACTGGTCTTGAACTCCTGACCTCAGGTGATCTGCCTGCCTTGGCCTCCCAAAGTGCTGAGATAAGGGGTGAGCCACCGTGTCTGGACCTCTATCTTCATTTTTCGAGAGCAGATTTGATTTTAGGGAATAACAGTCCATTAGAATCCAAATAATTTAGGGAATTTGGACTCAAGTCTGATAAGAAAGATTAGGCAATCATGTTGGTGATAATACTGCTTTAGGTCAGATAGGAGTTATAACTATAAAGTAATGGCACAGAATTTTTTTGTGTGACTTCTTGAACTGGACCTGAACTCTACTTCCAAAAAAACAAAATCTCTGAATTTTATTTTATTAATATTTATTTATTCATTTTGTAGAGATAGAGTCTCACTCTGTTGCCCAGGCTGCTCTCAAACTTCTGGCCTCAAGCAGACCTTCCACCTTGGCCTCCAAAAGTGCTGGGATTATAGGAATGAGCCACCACACCCAGCCCCTGAATTTTATTTTCAAGAATGAAAATAAATGAACAAAATATTTTAATGAATAAAATAGTCATTGAAATATTTGTCAGCTTCCTAATTTTAGTGCTCTAAAATGTGGTATACTTTGATGTGTAACATTTACAAATTATTTTAAGCCTATATTATTTTAATTTATAATAAGTATTGTAAAAAAACAAGTAGCAGCCTGTGTGATAACCAACTGTGAATCAAAATAGGATTTTACAAATATGCCGTTTCTTTAAAAGGTAAAGGGAACTAGACAAGGTCATGCAGTTTTAAGGAACTTTATGCATTGTCTGGGAGTGGAAATGAAGCAAAATTGTTTAAGAATACATTGTTACAAAGCATTGATTTTGGGGTTTTGAGACAGAAGGGAAGAATCTTTGTGGTGAGTTTCAGGAAATACAAACAGGAACTTAAGTGCCTTTCCACTGGGGTATCATTTTTCCAGGACCTTGCTGTTGATTAGAGAGGAGATGGGGCACTGGTAACCATAAAATAAGAGGTGAGAGTTGAGAATTACTCTTGGATCATATTCAACTGTATATTCAACAGTGTTTATTGAATACCAACTATAGGCCAGGTAGTCGGCTAGATTGTGGAAACAGTGCTAACTAAACAAGACAGAAACAAGACAATCCATTCTCTCCCAGAGCTTATAGCCTAGTGGGTTTAATAACTACATTTTATGCGTTGCTTACTATGTTCTAGCATTGTGCTGTGCACTTTATATTTATCAGTGTAGAAAGCATATAACAAAACCTTTAGTAAAAGGATAGCAACATTTACTAAGAAATCAAATCCAACTTCCTAATTGCTTTGTGGAACAAGATTATTCTAGTGTAATAAAAATAAGTGAAGCAAACATTTTTTTAAACTATTAATGGCCATTAACCATTTTAAATCTTTTTTTTTTTTTTTTAGAATAACTCAGGGCACAAATACGTAAAATTGCATTATTATTAAGTGTACAATGGTTGACTTTCTTGACTCCTGATCATGAGAGGGGTGTGCCCTTTACTTTTCTTAGTAGTGATAGTGGATCCATGCTGAGCTTTCCATTCTTTTCTTTGTAACCAAAAAGTAAGGTAGTTGCCTGTATGTTACCAGTGTCAGTCAATAAGAAGTATTTAAACATAATTGATGGCACACATTTGTATTATTGATGTATAAAGATTGTTTTAAGATTGAGTTCATTCGGGGGAGGACTCAAGATGGCGCTGTGAGAACAACCCAGGATTGGAGCTCGCGTTGTGTCCGCGGAAAGGTGAGTCTGAGCTGCATTTCCAGACTGATCTTTGTTGCCCACGGAACGGGGAAATTCC